GTAGAAGAAAAGCTAGAGAGGTGGAGATGTGTACTGGAAATGAGGGGGATGAAGATTAGTTACAGCAAGTCTGAACAGGTGTGTAAATGAGAGGGACACAAGTGGAATGGTAATGTTACAACGAGTAGAAGTGAAGAAGTGCACTGGGTTTACGGTCCAAAGCAACAGACAAAGTAGAGAAGAGGTAAAGAAGTGTAGGTTGGAATGGGTGAGGAAGTGTCTTCGACATTATTATTTGGTTTCATCAAAGGTTATGTAAGATTTTTGTTTGAGTAAGATGACGTCACTTCTCCCAGCATGCAACTGTTCAAATCGAAATGGCGCCATCTTGGCCAGCTAGGCTGTTTGTTATTGTCAGAAAACTCAATCAAACAGGAAACATTGTAGATTCCTGTTGGGCCCCAGGATGCCAGAACTGAGCGGACAAGATAAGGGAAGAGCCTTCTACAGGATTCCCCAAGATCCGGAGCGCCGCAAACGTTGGATCATTGCAATAAAACGCGCTAGTGACCGGGCTAAAATGAAGCTGTGGGATCCCGAGAGTACAGGTTTTTGCTTATGCAGCGACCACTTCATATCAGGTACTTAAACCAACGTTTCCTCAGCTGTGTATGTTATTTATTTTAAATGCTTTTATTACGGATCTTAGTGGGCTTCCTAAACTTATTTTGGCGTGGCTTTTTCTGTCTTATTACTCATAGCAACAAGTAAACATCACGTAAAACGTTGCCTCGTGATTTCTGCGTGCTGCCATTTACATGTTTTATGATCACAGCAATTAACCGGCTAAGCTGCATTTAATTTTTAAGCAATGGTTGATCAATTGTCAGATCACACATAAAAAGCACTTTGGATTGCTATTATCTGTCTCACCAAGACAGATCTCAGACAAATCCTGAGACGCTCCTGCCTGACATATTTATTTTATTCACGGAAAAAAAATCAGACTAGTGATTTCTCTTGGCGTTCAGTTTATACATTCAAACAGCACAGCACTCTACTTAAACTTCTTACATGTAAATCTATGTTAATTGTGTTTTTGTTTAATTAGTTTTATAAATTATAAATGTCAGGGCATCTCAAATTCGGTAAGAGGTCCGCTCCGACAGCTTCTGCCGTTTTTAAAAAGTATCACAGGGACACGGTAAGGGTCGGAGATGTTTAGTCTATTTAATTTCTGACTATATTAAACGATTTCTTCGGTTTTAAAGTGTGAAGTAAACTCCAACGGTGTAAAATCCAAGCCAATCCCGTTCATTTTGTTTACCTTTGTTGCCTGCCAACATGGCGTCTATACTCTCCGAGAGTCACCTGACGTCCAGAGCTCTATACCATTCTGATTTTTTTTTTCTTCTCCCGGCTCTTGGCAGGTGCAGACGCTTTTCTTCTCCTCTCCTCCATAGCTTATCCTCAAGGCCTTTTTCTGTCTGTGTGTGCTGGGTGCACGGCTGCTTCTGCATTTTTTCTGGAAACTAGAAACTGAAATTCACTAAAATGAATCTCGTCAGTTCAACGCGATTGATAAAAATTTTTCAACGATGCGAACGGGAGAAGGTGCTCCCAGATGCCCCGCCACAACAGACCCAGTTGGACACATCATAGACTCCTGGAAACATTGGAACTTGATGTGTCTATCTCAGCTGTCTGTGGAAGACTCTGAAGATGTGTGGATATTCGTGGTGATGGTGTCGGGTTTCCTGTTCATTGGCCATGGAGGCTTCCTGGCTTACTGGAAAATAAACGAGCTGTCAAGGAATATTGGCCTGAACCCGGAGCTCAGAGATGGTTTGCACCGCGCTGTGAATTCACAGACTTACATGATTGTCGAGATGAATCGTAAGCTTGGAACTTTGGCTGAGAATCATTCATTGGCACAGAAGATGGATGCCATCAAGGATAGAGTGGATGAATCAGCGCGGATTGGGATAGTTTAATGTCCATTATTGGGATTTTGAGAGGTTGAGGACCAACAAACTGTAAGACAGAGAGGAAATTATCTCTGTCTGGCCCCAAAACAATTTTTATCGGAATCTGGCGCCCTTGAGCCTGCAAGGCTCCAACGAAAACTCCCCCCTCAGAAGATATGTGGAATGTGCCGTCGCTATGGCAACTCAACTCTGTCTCCTATCCCAGCCTGGGCGGGACTGCGGGAAGGCCGCTTAAACGTTCCAGGGTCACTGCAACCCTCCAACCCTCAATGCTCCTCCCCCATCCACACTGAGGTGACATGCGCTGCTTCATCGTGGCTGCAGGAACTGAAGTGGGGATAGTCCCAACCCACCACCCCACCTAGTGGACTCTTAAGTTGTGTAATGTCTGAAGTCTGTTGCATATCTGTCTGAGGTGTTTTTTGCAGAGCAAAGCTACCCTCCCTGTGGAGGGTAACTCTGAAGTGCCTTTTTTCCCTCCACCTGAACCAATCCTCATGTAACCCTCTTATCTCTATTAAGGTAGCGCGACTCAGGGTTGCGAATGACCACAGTCACCAATTCTTGTCATGTGTCTTGCCTATGTATGTCTGATCTCAGAATTGTGTGTACTGAAACTCTAATTTCCCTCTGGGATCAATAAAGTATATTTGATTTGATTTGATTTGATTTGATTTGAGTTGAGTTGAGTTGATTGATATTATGGAATCATAATGATATTTAACACCCACCCATATTAGGGCAGAAGTAGCTCAAGAGATTGAGCAGGTTGTCCAGTAATCAGAAGGTTGCAGGTTCAATCCTGGCTCCGGACAGAGAATTCTGCTGTTGTGTTCTTGGGCAAGACACAAACTGCCCTGCCTGCTGGTGGTGGTCGGAGGGACCAGTGGTGCCTGTTCTCAGAAGCCTTGACTCAGTCAATGTGCCCCAGGGCAGCTGTGGCTACATTGTAGCTCATTATCATCAGATTACTCAATTTTCTTTGTTTAAGACAAACGTTTTGTTGGTTTAAAGATGTTTATCTCATACCTGCTAACAGTTTCAAATGAAGCCTTGAGTCATCCTCAGAGTGTCATCTGACTTTTTGCCGTTGTGCCATTTATCAGCTGGTCTGGGAGCATTGTCGAGCCACGCCCCAGACCAGCCAAACCTCCCTCTCATCGGTTCTGGGGAAAATTTAAACAGCAAAACGTTTGTCTTTAAAAAATAAAAATGAGTAATTTGATTTATAACGAAGACAAAATTAACTTTATTTTTATCTTATCACCATCAGTGTGTGAATGTGTGTGTGAATGGATGAACTATACACTGTAGTGTAAAGCTCTTTGGAGTCCTCTGACGCTGAAGGCTGCAATACAAGTGTGAGTTATTTATCATTATCACCCCATGCATGCTCTTAGACCGACCAATCAGCTGCTTCTGTTTGTCCCCAAGACACGCTAAAGCTAGAAGAGAGAAAGCGATCTCAGTCAGTGGCCTGAAGCTTTGAATTGACTTCCCCTCCAGGTTAGGCAGGCATCCTCCCTAGCTGTTTTTAAATCCTATTATTTTTCTCAGGCTTTTAATCCCTAATATCACTTTTAAACAGGCTTATTCTTATCTCTTCCTTGCTTGGCATATTCTAGAAGAATGTCTTTTAATTTATTCATTTATTTAATTCTGTCCTTGTGACAATTTAAATGCTCTATTTCATTGGTGGTGTTTTACCTAACTGTTTTCATCCTGTGTCTGCTTTATTTATTTTTATCTAATTCTTCTTTTGTGCCCTATGCTTTTTCCACTTTGGTCAGTTGCAATGCAGTTGAAAGTGCTCTATAAATCAATTGATAAGGTACATAAAAACTGATTGGGCACAAACAAAACATTTCTAGTCAAATAAAGACTGGATCTAGATTTCTGTCACTCACTCATCTGTTTAAAGCTGGTGCTGGTGGTATTTATTTTACAGGTGAAGAGAGTCAGAGCACATCTGGTTTCATCTGGTTAGCAGCAGCTGACAAAACAGCAGCTTTGTGGTAGATTACATTTTACAACACGCAGTGAGGAAAGTACAATTCTCCTCAGATATATCAGTGACAACTTTCTTCACCATGCAGTATTATTGAGCTTTGTTTGCTGCTGGTTCAGGAGGGCCATAAGCCCCCTCTGCTGGAACAACAGATCAACTGTCCTGATTTCAAACACCTGCTGCTCAGACACTTCCTGTACAAGACAGGAGAACTTCAAGCCCATACACCAAGGAAAGAGTCCTTCAGTAGGCGAAGCGTCAATAGGTATCTATTTATTTCCTAATTATATGTCCATACCTAGTAATCGTTTGAGGGGGTGTGCATAGTTACTGCATTTCTTTAACTTTACACCAGATTATCAGATTATAAGAAAGGAAACACTGCCACAGAACAAGATAATCCACCAACACTGTGTAAATTACTCCACTTCAACAGTCTGTAATGTGAAAGGCTGCATGCAAGACAAGATCAGATCAGATTAGATAAGTCCTGATCTATCAGTAGAGGGGATTCAAGTGGGGTGATCTGAGTTCCAATTCCCGCAGAAACACAAATATGTCAAAAAAAAAACAGATGTTGTACAGGAGCTGCTGCAGAACAGAAAACACACACAGCATCATATGATGAATAAATGCATTTGGTCTGATTCAGTACAACTGCAGGGTGACGTTTATGAGAGCTGCTAATCCAGTTTCCAGTCTAATAATTTATAACATTTGATGACAATTACTGAAGTTCACTTGTTTGACCTTCAATCTATTTTTACTAATTAATGAGAAATAAATGTTTAGAATCTGGTCTTTATGTTGTCTGGGGAGTTTCAGTTCAAGTCTTCCCACTTTCTGACATTTTTGTGTTTTTATTCTCGAAACGGAATAAACCTGGTTTCAGTAATGCGCGTGCGGCATCTCCTCGGGGACATGTGCGTTAGGGCACATCTTAATGGGTGTCATGGTCCTGGTGGTACCCAGGGGTGTTCATGGGGAAGGGAGGAATACGGAATGGACCTCCAAAGAACAACCTTGAGAGAGAGAGAGCGCGCGCGTTGGTGTAGTGTACTCACCCAACACAAACACCAGAGAGATGATGTTGATCAGGACCATGTGGCGTCCAGCTGTTGTCCCCCAGGTCATGATGGCAGGATGGAGGGGAGGGGGCCTGTGGGAGGCGCTGCTTATCTCTCTCTCACTTGCTTCTTCCTCTCCCTTTGTAGGACTCGGTGTCTCTCACTCACTCCCCATTGACACTGTGGAACAAACCGAACCGAACCCCCCTAATTCTGGAACTGTTTGCGGACTTCGTCACAGAACGCATTTCCGGGTGAAGTGCTGCTTGGCGGATCTTTGACGAATATCCATTCACGATCAAATAAAGACTCCCCTTGTTGTTGTCACCAGTGGACGTCCACGTGCTGCCCCGACCGCCAACTTCCCCTGATGATTGCTCCACGAGAGACTGCCCGAGTCCGGACTGCCTTCTGGTCCTCCTCTAAACCTAAACAGCAGCAAAGACACGAACAGAACGATTCTGCCTTCCCACTAGAAACGAGTCTCCCACGCCGGAGTAGCCTGATGCGTAATGGCAGCGCGTGTCCCAGTAAAAGGGTTTCCACTCCAGGTGCCTCGCGCGCCTGCCAGCGTCTTTCATTAAACCGACTGAGAGGAGAAAATCATAAGTCGTCCAGCTTCTGACCCCCTCATGCCCCAAACACACACAGATACTGACACACACTCGGAGCGCGTGCCAGTCCAGGAGGATCCGGTATAACGGAATGTCTTTCTCCCTCTCCCTCCTCCCACCAGGAACACGAGCTCAGCGCGCGGCGCGCAATGGCACGAGGTGAAAATGCGCGCGCGGAGAGCTCTGTGTGTGTGTGTGTGAGTGTGTGTGTGTGTGTGTGTGTGTGTGTGTGTGTGTGTGTGTGTGTGTGTGTGTGTGTGTGTGTGTGTGTGTGTGTGTGTGTGTGTGTAATCGTTTTAAATTTCTAGTCTCCATATTGTCCCAAACATGTAATGCAGATATTTTTATTTTATTATAAATCATAAATGTGCCTTCCCGATCTTTTTGCTTAGTTGTGTTAATGATTGGTTAGTTTTATTTTGTATTACAGTTTAAATCCTTTTCTATTTACATCATTTTTAGCTTTCTCTCATTGTTTTTTGTTTCACGTTTTAAATTGTGTGCCACATTTATAATTGTTTTGACTGTCATTTTTTGAAAATATTGTATAAATAATGTTCAGTATTATCCAACATTTAAGGTGCAGATGATCAGTGTTTTGCTCCAGGTTTAACCAAATAGGAAAATAATCAGTTTAAGTTTTTTATAGTCCAGGTAGATGTTAACTCATCTTATACATGCAGCTTGGTACGTTGGGTTTTATTTCTCTGTGTAGCTCAACCTGGCCGTCCTAAAGGGGTGAATGGGTAAATATTTTTGTTGTTTTAATTTTATTTTTTCCAGAATGAGACATTTAAAATTCTTCTAATTTCCTCCGTGGAAAAATAACGCATGCAGTGTCTCAAAGCACAAATGTATCAACACACACCACACACACGTCTCTCTGCACATATAGGTAATCACTCAGCTGCCTGTGGGGAAAGGAAACACTCTCCCTGAAGGGGCGACGGGCTGCCAGAGACATTTTGCTTTATAAGCACTGTTCTAAATTCTCAACGAGATGCAGGTCAGCAGCCTCAAGGCTGTGATGGCGTTAAAGGTGGGAGATCTTTGGATTTTGGAAAGTGATTTATTTACAGTATTTAAAAACAGATGATAAATCAAAACACATGTATGGTATTTAAATCAAATGTTAGACGTTTATTTCTGCTGGTGGTTTTGAAGACATGCAGCTGTAAATAGCTTAAAACACCTAATTAAAAGTTGGGTTACTACTGAAATGCAGATGTTGTTGACCTTTGACTTCATCCTCCTTTAGGACTTTGCACTTCAGGCATCTCCACAGTGAATCATCTGTCCTCATGTAGTCCTGTCTTCAGCATTCTCCACCCTCACTCCAAATAACTCCATGTCCCCTTCATTCAGATCCATAAATGTCCTTTTTGGTCTTCCTCTATGTCTCCTGCTTGGTGGCTCCAACCTCAGCATCCTTCATGTAATCATTGTCTCTCCTCTGGGCGTGTCCAACCCATCTCAGTCTGGTCTCTCTGAATTTATCTTCAAAACATCCAACATGATCTGTCCCACTGATGGACTCATTAATTATCCTGATCCATCCTCATCACTCCCAAAGAAAACCTCATCATCTGGAGCTCCACAACTTCCAGTTTTGTCTCCTGTCTAATCCTCGTGGACACTGTCTCTAAACCAGACAACATGGCTGCTCTCACTACATCTACAGCTGAAACCCTTTTATCACACCTGATGCTTTTCACTGCTTCCAACTTGTTTCACATGCTTCTTTACCTCTTCTCCGCAATCTCGGTTGTTTGGGACGAAGACCCCAAGTCCTAAAGTCCTTCACCTTCTTCACTCGTGTCCCTCTCATTTACACACATATATTCTGTCTTGCAGCAAATAATCTTCCATCCTCTCTTTCACAGCACATATCTCCACCTCTCTAGCTGCGGCTCTCATAAGATTTGATTTCATTATAAACTCCAACATTTTACATAATGTATTCTAAGAAGAAAAACAAATCATTATTCTAGGACAATGATCAAGAATATTAACCGTTTTCCAACCATGACATCTCCCTCTTTTCTTTCCTCTAAAGTATACAGGTCAGGTTTAATTTGATAGTTTTACATAAAGGACCAATCAGGAGGCTCGCCTGCGTTGGAGGTGCAGCATTAACTGTAGGCTGTGGGACTTTAACCCTCTCAGGCTCAAAATATGTTTTGATAAATGGACGAACAACTAAGTCCTTCAGGAGTACTTCTGAGTTAAAAAAATGCTCATGAAGTACGTATGTGAAGTAACCAGGTAGATAGGTTTAAACGTTGCAAATCTGCAACGCCTGCCTCCAGAGGGTTAAAAGTATTGTAAAACTTTAGAACACTGAGCCTTTCAGAGTATATCTAAAAAATCTTTGTTCGTGAATAGTTTCCCCTGCATCGACCAGTGCAACTCATGAGTCAGAACTTCATGTCAAATGCACACAATTAAAATAAAACTCTGATGTCTAACACAATAAAAGCCATCCTGCTGCTTTTCCATACGTATTTTTAGCTTCTAAATTGCATCTAATTTAGCAATTAAATACTTGGAGAGACGTCAGCAGGTCTACCTGGAATCAAAGCACATTTGTAATTAGCTGCCAATTCAATATGGTGCCATGGGCAGAAAGCAAAAGTTTTTATTGGCAACGCATTGATATCACATAGAGTTCCTCTCAGCATGATGCCAAAGCCTTTCACTGACTATAAAATTATTGTCTTTTTAATCTTGATGTAGCACACACATCTAACTGCAGGCTTCTGTTGTAATCATCACACAATGGCAGCAGAACACATTAACATAAACATCAGACTCACTTAGGGCGGGGCTCTGTGGAAAAGTTACTATCAACCAACATCTTAGCCCTTGTAGATAAGATGTTGTACAGCCTTAGTTTGGAGAAGCAGAGATCAGCTGTAGTTGAGCTAGCGGCTAGTCACAATAAAGCATCTTCAACGTGTTTAAAGTTTTAAAGTCAGAAATAAATATGGTTTAAAACTTTGTTAGATAATGTTATTAGAACAGCAAATCAATGAAAATGGCTCTCACCAGGCAACAATATGAATCTTCATCAGCAGTGATGGGAATTAGGGCTGGGAGGATCGATCTAAAGTATCGATAGAAACGATTTAACGTCTGTATTGAGTATTTATTAGACACCAGCGTGATGATAACAATTCAGTTTCTTCTAGCCTGGCAAGCCATGACGTACTCAACGCTACAAATGTTGGTCAATGAGGCAGTCGACCAAACTCCAACAAAGAAGATGCAAAACACATCCTTTTCCTAAATAAACATTAGTACTTCTATCTGACCTTGACTCAAACAAAAGATAAAGTCACAATAGTCCAAACTTGGCGATGGCAGCATTCCACAATTCTTCTGGGGGGAGGTGTGTGTGTGTGTGGGGGGGGGGGGGGGGGGGGGGGGGGGATATTCGTTTCAAGACCTTCACTGAAGGCGAAGCCACAAAGGACTTGTCCATCTCTCACTCCAGCCTACCATCACTCTTAAGCGAGACACCACGATGCTCAAACTCATCCTCTTTCTATCAAAGTCTCAGAGTAACTCACAAAATATTACTAAAATGAAACATCATTTTGTAAAACTACTTACATTTCAAGCACTTTATTACAAAGTAAGCTCTTGTGAAAATGTAACATCTTCACTGATATTTGATTTAACTGCCTTGTTGAAGATCTGAGGTCTGCAGGGGGGTCGGTTTGATAACTGCTCAGTTTATGAGTTAATCTAGTTTAATTGCTGTTGCCTTCCAGGCGACTGTGTGAGATTTACGCTGTGAAGGATGGAAATGGCAGCAGTCTAGATAAATGGTAAAAGCTCCTGCCAATGGCCACTGTGCAAAATTATGTCCCTCAGATATGTTTAAGCTTATTTTATTGAATTAGGACTCCTGGTCCGTTCAGAACCCTGAAGTGAAAATGGAGTTTACTATGCAACATGGATGCATGGACATATGTGGAAGTGTGTAGCAGGAGATTAGAAGCCATGAGGCCTTTCCTTTCTGAAATAAACTGGATGACTTCATTTAAGATGTGCTCATCCAACCAGTAGAATGCTACAAAGAGCCGCGTGCAACTCCCTCATCGACTCAAATTTGGCTCCACAGATCAAAGGAGCTGCAGCAGAAACTCAGAGCTCTGATCTGCTTAAAAACACAACTCATTCAGATGGAAGATGAGCAAAATAAATAGATAACCTGAGACTCTGTCTGCTCTTCTGTCAGTCAGTCTGTGTTCTGTTTACATGCAGCAGCACAGCTGACTGTCCTGGTTTTAACCAACTTCAGGTGACATGCATTAAAATCACAAAGGAGGTGACTCTGTCTTATAGAACGGAGCGAGGATGTCATCAATTAACTGACTTTCTGATTCTTTGCTGTAGGAAACAGAAATGTTATGCCAACATGTTAGAGGGGATCTACCTAAAGACTGCTTGCTTAAATGAGTGGGATTATTCTAAAGAGGGTTATGTATTAGATCAGGTAAGTTGTTTAAATGGATTAATCTGCACAATCAGAAGCTTCTGAGGAAATTTTAAATGATAATTTGGATTTATAAAATGTGTAAGACTGTCGATGCACCAAACACAAACACACAAGCAGTAGTTGGTGAGGAGTTGAACTAAACTGAAAAGAGGTGAAAACAACATGGAAAACAGTGAGCCAGTAAGACAAAAGTTGATGGAAAACCAGGAGTTTTAAAGTTTAGTCGTCACACACACTGATGTGTGGTGAAATGGGTTCTCTGCATTTGACTCCTCCCCTAGGGTGTCAACAGGTGTCAGAGATGAGAGGTGAGCGGCAGCAATGGCTTCACTCGGGAACGATCTAGTGGATTAACCCTCCATTCCAACCCCTTGTCAAGAGGTATGAAGTAGGAAGGAACTGAGTCCAATTTTTATTCTTTGGTATGACCCGACCATGGATTTGAATCCACAATCTCCAGTCCCAGAGCAGAAACTCCTGCTACTAGACCAGTGAGCTGGTTTTAGTGCTGGGAAGGTAGATTACACAGACAGGTGAGCAGATGACTGACAGGTGTGAGGGGAGCTAAAGCATCTGACAGGAACAGCGGGAAAAGAACACAAT